AAGGCAAAGTCAGAAACAAAGTCAAAGAGTCCCTTCTGGAGGAGCCTACTGCCAAGCAATTCACATGCTAAGAGGAAAAATGCCATGGTGGTTAGCTCAGGGACAGAGCTCAGTGCTCTTAGTTGTGCTGAATGCTGTAGCTGCCTCTTTTTCATTGGTAGTACGGTTGTGAGAACAATTCTTATAATCTTTGTGGATTCTCCTGCTTGCCTGCTTTCTGCTGACACACACTGGACTGTGACTGAGGCAGCTGGTGGATGGCCCTGCTCTGTGCCACCATTCAAGTTGTGCCTGGCTTTGGTCCCATGTCTCTTTCCAATCTAGCCCTAGTCTCAGCTTTCGTCCTGATTCTGTGTTGCTCTTCTCTCTTAGCACTGCCCTTGGCAAACAGATGCTCTTTCCATGCCCAGAGCTGGCTGTAGCTCTAGTGTTTGTCTCGGACATCACCCAGTTAGGGTATAAATTTAAGGGATGGATGATCGTGTTGCTTTGTTGTTGTTTTTTTTTTTCCAGCTCATCCCTCTCCCTCGGTGTAATAAGTGGAGATCCCCAATAGATGGCACTTTAGCCTTTTTCCCGGCAGGTTTTGCTGTTAGCATAGAGATGTTCAGGCTGGCTTTGTGCTAATGGAGCATGGTCACAGGGAAGTGTGAAGGAAAGGGAGGCTGGAAAGTTATTTACTGGCCAAGCAAATCCCCAGGTGATTTCCAAGGATAAAACCAGCATCCCTTTCCTTAAGAGGAGCCTTGGCCAGGCCTAATGGGGCCTTCTGTACTTGCACATGTTTCTGTTCTTGCATCTTTACAGTGTCAGTGTAGGCAGTCAGGAGATAAGCTGCAGAGGGTATTAAGTTGTCCTCCAGGCACAATGGGAAACACAGCTCAGAGAGAATTTATGCATTGAACTAATCCTCACTGCATTGTCTTCACCCATCCTGGCTTGTGTCTGGTCTGTACTGTCTGGACATGAGAGAAATATCTCCAAGGCAGGGGGAAAGACGTGGCACAGCAAAAGTAAGGCAGTTCTCCTAACAGCACCAGGCAATAATGTGTATGTACTGGGGGAGTGAACCAGGATCCAGGCTCAGCACAGAGCTTCTTACCTTCTCCTTCACCACAGTGCAATGCGTTCCTGCAGAGGAAGCTTACCATTTGCCTCCCTTTGGTTTCTGGCCTGGCCATCAGGAACTTGAATAGATCTTTGAGCAATGCTGGAGTTGGCATGCGGGCTTGTCATAAATGTTGTGCAAAGGCTTAGTCATGTTTTATCAAGTGGCCAGAGGAAACTTGGCCTCTTTCATTGGGTTTGAGATTTGGTTTGAACTCAGTACTCAGATCAAAAATTCAAGAGTGAGAAACCCACAAGAACCAAAACCCAAGCAAACTGATCACATGAAATGCCTGGGAAATAAAACCACTCAATTTTGCATAGCTCCAGTAGCATGATCTAGTGACAGACTAGGTTACAGTCTGAGATAGTCTGGGAGCACACAGCTGGCGTCCAAAAGATACAGCTTCTATTCATGGATGTTCCACAGTTTTCCTGTGACCTTCAGAAACTCAAGTAAACTTCCATGGTCTTCATTTTCTCCATTAGGAATAGTTCTACTACTTACACGGGAAAATATTTTGTTATCCTTGGATATAAGTTACTTGGTAATATTCTGCAACCCATGTATGCAGGGAGGAACACAACCTCCAGACTTCTCACAAAGCTTTCTTTCCAATATGTGATGCAGCAGCATGACCTGTTTCCAGCTGCACATGTCAAGCCTTGTCACTGGGGAAAGGACAAATCAAGGGGGAAGAGGAAGTATGTTGCAGCTCTTCTCTTTGCAAGGGCTTTTACTATGGACCTCTACTAAATTGCCAGCTGCACATTGCAGCAGCACGTTGCTGGGCCTTAATCAGAGATGCTGGGTGCCGTGGGTCAATGAGGAGCTTGTGATCTGCCAGTCAGCTGCTCTTGGCATTGTGGTTGTGGATCAGAGACATCCAGGGTACTTTACTAGTGTGACGAGTGAGGTGGGGAGGAACTTGAGAGTGCAAGCTTTTCTTGAGCCTGCTGGAACTCATAAATGCTTACAGAATAAAAACAAAAACACTGGAAGAGTATGTATAACTGAGCCCCAAAATGCTGGGGTGTACCTGAAGTTGGTGCTTGTGGCTATTTTTGTTATATAAAAAAGGAAGCAAGAAATAAATAGTTGCTCTGCAGATATCTGCTGAAGCATAGCTAGGCAAAGTTTGCAGAAGCAGAGCTAATACAAGGAATTACAGTATTAGGTTCTTTCACATCACAAGTGCTATGACAAAGCTTTGCTGACATCTGGTTTTGCTGCCTGTCCTTAGCAGCTCTGGCCTGGGAACAAGTTAAGCATCCTACTATCAAACCCACCAGGCTGCGGTCACTGCTGTGTTCTGTGCCTCAGTGGGATGGTGTGAGGTCAGGGAGAGACTGCAAGCTGTTTGTGGATGAGATGGAAAGTTCTGCTGTTCTGCTTTAGGCAGCTTCTCCTCTGCCCTGAGACAAACAGCTGGGCCTTGCAGTGTGCCTGTCTCAGCATTTGAACACAGAGAGCTCAAATACGGGAAAGCTCTCGTATCCAGAAGTTTAAGATGACCGGACCACCAGTAGGTCATATCTCAAAGACCATTACAGGTGGAGCCAATGGCTCCAGGGCCTGAATGAGGAACAAACAATGCTCTGGGCAAATTGGCATTATATGAGGAAAGCAAAAAAGAAGAGACAGGAAAAAAAAAATCTTCTTAAGTGATACTCATCAGGGCAAGAAAATGGTAAGAGATTCTCAGTTGTTTTCAGATGCACCTTGATTATCAGCTAGCAGTCAGGAGTAATTCTTACCTAACAACAAGTGTGTTATTGCATACTGATACAGAGCACTTCTGTTTTCATCTGGCATTTTATTCTATCCTGTCAGAAGCAGGACACTAGGCTAGCGGTCTGGTAACGCGCTGTTACCTATTTGCCTGTATCCAGCAGTAAGGAAACAAGAAGCACATAGAACAGTGTATGTGAACGATGTATGGTCAACTAGGGTCTTAAGGCTGAGGGGGATTTCAATTTGGCATGAAATGGGGTGAAATAAGTAAAAATAATTCCTTGTTATGAATGCAGAATTCAGACAGCAAATACAATGTAACAAATGAATTACTACTATTGCCGACTTCTTCAAAGGCAGCACTATCCTAAAAGGCAGAAGGATTAGGCTTTGGCTCAGACTCTGTGCTTGTTGCAGACCTTAAAAAAAATACTTTGTTACTGGAGTTCCTGTCCCTTAAATGAAGACACTTTTTTTTTTTCCCTTTCTTTCTTTCTTCCTTTCTTTCCTTTCTTCCTTTCTTTCCTTTCTTTCTTTCTTTTTTTTTCCCCTGCAGTCACTGGTTTACAAATGCTCTTTCCTTATCTTGTTACAGGCATGCTGTCTGAGAACAGGGAACAACTGGAAGAGAATTCCTCAAGGCTCCAGATTTTTTTTCCAGGAAAAAAACTTGGACAAAAGGCTCTGGTGGCCCCAAAGGCCTGGCAGTGGGTGAAATGAGCCTTTCACATAGGTACGGAAAGTTTATCTCTGGCATGAGCTGGCAGTGCCTAAAAGCCTGTTAGTGTTACTGATGGCCTGCTGGCCAGCACTTCTGGAAATGTTTTGGTGGCTTCCTGTGAGTTCAAAGGTGTTGGGAGCATATTGGTCAGTCCCTGATAGCTTTTCTGACTGTTTTGTCAGGGAGGTGCTGGGAGAATTGGCCACGGAAATGGAGCACCTTGCTGTGCCTGAAAGAGCAATTGTTGCAGTTGAATAGGGCAGGTGGTGCCCTAAGAACCTATGTCTTCCCCGTCCTGTGCCTGCACTTGCTATTAGAAGAGGGTCTGGTGAGTTTCGCTGCTACTTCATGCCTTTTGGAAGCTGTTCACATGGCTCAAGGGACTTGAGATGACATATACAGCTATTCCCCGTGGATCAGTGCTTTGAATCAGGGGACAGGACAGGCAGTGCACGGCGTCTATCATGTTATCTTCCTGCTGTGAGCAGGCTGTGGGTGAGCATGTAGGACTGCTTCAGAGTCACAGCGTGGCTGAGGCCGGCAGGGAACTCTGGGTCCACCTGCTCCAGCCCTAGCTCCAGCAGTGACACCCAGAGCAGGTCGCTCAGGAACATGTCCAGGCAGTTTCTGGAGATCTCCAGGGAGACTCCACAGCGCCTGGACAGGCCGTGGCAGAGCTCTATCACCTGCACAGCACAGAATTGATTTCTGACGTTCGGAGCAAACCTCCCACGTTCCAGTTTGTGTTCATGGCCTCTTGTCCTGGCGCAGGACACCACTGAAAAGAGCCTGGCTTTGGCTTCAGTGCATCCTCTTCAGGTGTGAATACACACTGATGAGATTAACCCGAGCTTCCCGTTTCTAGGCTAAACGCTCCTCCAACCCAGAGGCCAGGAGTGCCCCGCAAGCCGTCAAGCACTATAGGGCACAGACCCCGACCTCACGAACGTAGCCCCGCCAGAGAGCAGCCCCGGCGCTGCCCCGCGGCCGGGAGGGGGCTGGGCGCGGGGCCCTTTAAGCGGAGGCCCTGCCCCGGCCCGCTCCGACCGGCCAATGGGCGCCGCGGCTGCCGCGCCGCTGCCTGGGCGCTCCCCGCTGCGGGCTGAGCGCGGGGCGGCCGCGGCCGTGCGGGGCCCGGGGCGGTTGGGAGGGGGGGCGCCATGCCCGGCCGGGGCCGCTGGGAGGCGGGGGGCAGGCGGCGCTACTGCCGCGAGCGGGGCCCGGAGCCTCGGCCGGCGGGGGGCTTCGCCGGCCCTCAGTGAGCGCCCGGCGGCGCCGCGCCTCCCTCCTTCCTGAAGCGTAGCGGGGAGAAAAGCAGGGGAAGTGCGGTATTTATTTCTGTGGGGCCTCGCTCCGCCCCGCGGCCCCCAACGAGGGGCAGGACCCAGGGCACGGCTGGCCGCAGCCTCGCCTCGCGCCGTGCCGGGCGCTGGATGCCAGCCCCGCCGCGCTGCCGCGAGCCCGGCGGCGGCGGCTGGGCGTTTGGAGGTGTGCGCGTGTGCTTAACCCCTTCTTGGCTCCTCGGACTTGTACCATGCTGAAGGTCCTCACCAAAAAGCTCAGGAACCAGACTTTGAACGAAATTCAGCCTTTCCAGCTAAAGGTAAGGATGGGCGGTGTCGTCTCGGGTGCTTTTGGGCCGTCCAGGTAACGAGGACCAGGGGTGACAAGGGGCAGTAACTTGCGATGTTTATTATGCTGGGCCGATTTCCTTTGAGGCGCTAGGCGAGAGCTGGCCTGGGCTGTATCTCTGCTACTGGAGTCGTGTTCCTTGCGCACGGTAGGTTACACAGGAGGCACGTGAATGTAAATGGTTTGTGTGTTTTTCAGTCTAGAAGTACTTATTTTTAACGGGGTTGACGTTCAGCTGCGTGTGCATTCGCCGCTCTCTCTGGGTACCTTTGCATGCACTTTATCTGCAACCTTCCAGCCCTCTCCGGGCTAGAACCCTGCTGCACTAGGTGCTGTGCAAACACGGTTTGCCTGAAATGCCTTTCAGCTCAGTATTTGCGTTTCTCTCCCTTCTGCTCCAGGAGGCTGCAATCTGAGCTGCAGTTTGCAGCCTGGCTCCTTGCATTGACCCATGGTTTTTCAAACTCTGCTTATGTCCTTCTTTAGCGTTCAAAAAAAAAAAAAAAAAAAAAGCTGAGATCACAGATTCAGCACAAGGAATAGCTAAACTGTTCCTGCTAAATGCAAGGAGGAATCTCTTAGCTGTATGCAATGGGATGAAAGCGGAGTCACAATCAGAAGAATTACCACGTTCTGTGTTGGCAAAAGTATTGTGAACTGAGGTGTTTTAGCTCAAATCAGCAGTTATTCTGGACCTCCATCCATACAGCTTGCAGTGTAGTATCTGGCCCTGAATAAAGAAGGGATGTGGGAAAAGAAGCAGCCCTCAGCGCCTGGGATGGGGGCTGGGGAATCTGCACACCAGGCTCCAGTGGAGCCTTTTGTATGTGTTACACAGAGGCAGATTGCAGTGTGCCTGCACTTCTGCACAGTCACTGTAGACAGGCTGATGACAACTTTGTTAGAAAGGGAACTAATGTTGCCTCAAAGTTTTCTGTCTCCATGCTTCGTCTGGTCTTGTGGGAGGCAGGATTCGATTTTGGTTTTGGAAACAAAATAGCAGCATTACTTTATGTGTGCAGAGGCAATTGGGGATTTCTTTTGAATGCCATGTTTCTGGACCTGTGATCACCTCCCTTAGCGTCATTGTTTGTCTATGAGCCTGAAGTTGTGAAGCCATAAGGCCCTTCTGATGGAGCTGCTGGGGATATATACAGCATTCAGGATACCAGAGTGCATGCTGGGAAACCTCAGGATGGGGTACCTGCAGCCATTTTGCTCATGGTAGTGCCAAGGTTGTGTGCTGCCAACAGGTGGTCTGTGTTTTTGCAGTCTCAGTGGAGAAAGCAGACTCAAGCTTGTGCTGTTTCTTGCAAGCATAGACCTTCAGAGGTAGCACTGCAGCCTGCTGTAGTGACTGGTACAATGACTGGTATACATGTGTATGGGCAGAAAGCCAGACTTGCAAACTGTGGGTTTATATATGTTTTGTAGGCCTTTAGGGACCACATGCAGCAGCCTGCTTTTACTTGAGCCTTGTACCGGTGCATGAACCACTTAATTAGAGCGTGCACACTCTGTGCGGGGCCAGATCTCTTTGCAGGTGAAGAGATGGTGCTAGCTGACCCACACCATCTCCATCTCCTGCCTCCGTCTGTGGGACTGTCAGACACTGGCTGGGCTTGTGTGTCTTCTGCTGCCTTGCATGAGTCTGTGTATATAATCTGTGTAGTGTGTGCATGTCTTGGCTTGCATGGTACATGTGTTGTTTAAAAGATCCAGTCCTGCTGTCACTGAAACCTGATGGAAAGTTAGTGAAGTGTGAGCATTAAGTCAGGCCTGTAGTAGCTCAAATACAGAATGAGCAACCAATGAGAGTAGAATTAAGTACTGATCTCCGTCCACCACCCAAACCAAGAGCTTCCTGAGCTTTAAAGGCAGTATGGTTGGCGGCTGTTCTCCTTCACTACCCACTTGCTTTTGCACTTCATGACCTTTGTTGGAAGTTCCCAAATTCAAGAGAAAACAAACCACTGCTGTGTTTCGGGCTTGCAGCAGTACCGCAATCAGGCAAAGTCCTGGGAGACTGTCCTTGGGTGAATTGTCAACTCATTTTTGTAAACTTGGGAGAGCTGACTGACCTCCGGTTGGCATCCCAGCTCTGGGAACTTTTTCAGGATGAAATTTCTGCCCATTGTGAAGATCTCATTTTGGCAGCATGTCCTGAATTGGCTAAGTGTGGCTGTGATGAGTGTTTCTAGACTTCTCCCCCCAGAGAAGCTGAGTGGCCTCATGTAGTAAGTCCAGGATTATACATGCATCAGCTGCTATATTAATGGACCTTCCTTCTTTCTTTGTGCTGTTGCTCTTTAGGTAGTTGACCACTAAAGCTGCTTGAGGGCTTTGACTTAAGAGGCGTGCTGGTGTTACTGAGAAACTTCTTGTCCCTTTGTTATCCTTTTACCAGAAGTTACCATGATATAAAAGGAAGGACTGGCTGACTGACGTTTCACCTTCCATTGGGGTAGTGCGCTCAGCCAGCAGTTCCTGCTCAGAGTGGCTGGACTGTGAAGCTTAACAGTTAGGGTTTGTGTTTGGTCCTGCTGCATCCTTGCTAGACGTTCACTCCTCTGCAGTGGAGGCAGCTTAGTGGCAGCTTCTGAGCTGTTGTGGTTCACAGTCAAGCCCTGTGGCTTGGGCTTGGCTGCAGCAGCTGAAGGACTCCAAGACAGGATGTAAGTTGGAGTCTTATTCCTCAGACCTCTTGCTTTGATCATCTGGTGTTCTCGACTAGAGATTAGACCAGATCTAGAAACCTACGTTGTTTGGCTAGAAATGTAGAGCCAGCAACAGCTCTGAATGTACAGATTAGGGATCATCTCTGGTAACAGCTGGCAACTGGGTCTGTTTCAGAGCAGCCTGTGGGACAGCAGAGAGGAGTGACAAAAAGGAGTTGTGCCACATCCTGGTGAAACATTTCAAACAGGGTGATGAGAGAAGGCCATAAATAAAGATCAGAATTTTTAGCTGGTTTTCCAGTATTTCAATCTAGTAGAGTTTCTATTTTTTTTCACAGCTTTAGACTGATATCCCTGAAAGCCCATACTGAAATACAAATCAAATTGTTCAAGGTGGCTTTTAAGATGTATATCCTGGGTTTGCGTGTGGGTTATGAGAGTCCTGAGCCCTCAAGAAATGCTCTCTGCCCAGCTCGCAGGGCTTGCTACAAATGAAATGCTTGTCCCCAGTTTGGGGCAGGGGTTTCTGGCACAAATGAATTCATTCTGAATCCCTCTTCAACTCTTGTGCTCCTGCGTATTTGTGTAATGGGTAAAGTGTAGGTGTCGGTTTTGTAAGCTTTGCAGGCAAGCTCCTTGGGGCAGGGAGCATCTGCTTGGTGCAAGTCTGTGCATTGCCAGTCAAACTAAATCCTTAATTAGTGGCCCTAGGTGTTATCTGAATGAAGCAGTTGGGTTGTGGTATATAAAATTAGCTGCCTGGAACATGCAGCTGAACAGAGCTCGGCACTTGAAGGGTGGCAATTCCGTTCCGTCAATTCAAACGGCTTTGGAGATGATGCAGATGATACTTTAATCTACAAAAGTTGTTGAATTACCTGCAAATTGGGTGTGCTTCTTTTTGGTGGGGTAGAGTTTCTTAAGACATGTTTGTCGTTTCCTTAATCAGTGAAATAAAACAAAGTCACATGCAGGTCTGTCCTAGTCACAGAGAACTGCATTCTGTTCTGTGTAATTCTAGCCTCACGCTTGCTTAAAAGGGAACTGTGGACTGGGCACTAATAAAGCCACCATGTTAGCTTTCTTCACGTATCCTTGCAGCTTGCACATGTGCCTACGCAGTGATGGGGACCTGCATCTGCATCTGGAGTCAGCTATGAGTCTCAGGGCTGGCCAGCCCTGAGGAGTGACTGGGCATCATCCTGGCCCTGCCTGTGTTTGGTTGCCTTGGTTGGTCTTGCACAGTGAGCCTCAGGTCTGCAGGAGGTGACTTGTGAGACCCTGGCCCAGTGGGAGCTGGTTACTCTGCAGAGCAGGAGGGCTATTACACTTTTTCTTCTTGAATCAAAATAGAGCCAAGTAGCTCCCTTATTATTGATGCACAGTGGGTGCGCTCTGAAAGATCCGTTTAAGGCTCATGCTTTGTATGAATGAGGGCAGATTAATTTCCGTCTGCCTGAGCTGACTGCCTGTCACGTGCTCAGCCAGCCACTAGCCTTCAGGCTGGCTGATGGCAGCTTGGCACAATGAGATCTTAGCTTCGTCTGTCTCCTGTGGTGTGTGAAGCTGTTCTCTGCTTTGTGGATTTTCAGCACATCCCACTGAACAGGTTCATCGCTTCAGGGCTGTAGGAGTCTGCTTTAAACCAAAGCTTTACCATTCCACCTATTAACACCTGGTAACACTAGATGCTTCTGGCTTGTCTTAGTCTCACTCAGGAGGAGGGCAAGCAGTTTCATGAAAGTGTGTAAGTACAGTGGCTGAGAGGTCTGAAGTTAAAATACTGATAATTTGGACTGAAGTGACGTTAGTGGGTCAAAAATGCTATGACAAATACTTATCCGAGCTGGAGCACAACAGCCAGTCCCTGCCACTCAGATGGTTTTTGAGATTTCTGCCTGAGGCCTTGTAAAATAAAAGGTCTGCAATTCCTTCTACTCAGCTTCTTAAGTTCTGAATCTTCAAGGTTTGTCATCTTCTCTGTGCTGTCATCCAGCACCAGTAAAATCCTGTAACAACTTAATGCCAGAGAGTGGGACTTCAGACAGATTTCAGGTGTTGTAAATATGGCATAAAGAGAAGTTCATTGAGATTGGGATGATTCAGTGAGCCATCCTTTCAATTGCCCTCATTTATAAATTAACATAGGCTAGATTCAAATACATGAGAACTCCACACATACACTGCCACAAAGAAATCTCATTACTTTCCCATGTATTTCCCAATTCTTGTTTTCATTTGAATGAAAAATTGAATTCTGAAAATTCAATTTTTGAAAATGTAATCCTATGTA